GACGGGGTTTCACCATGTTGACCAGGATGGTCTAGATCTCTTGACCTCGTGATCCACCCGCCTTGGCCTCCCAAAGTGCTGGGATTACAGGCTTGAGCCACCGCGCCCGGCCCATATTACCTGTTTAAGAAATAGATATTTTTAAAACACAATCACTGGGGCAATCGGGAATTTATGGGGTGTGGTTCTGTTTCACGACTCCAAAGAGGGATTCAGGCATGTTTTACAACAGCTCAAGAGGTACATTTATGTTTTATGCACTTTTTGGTAAATTGTATTCCACAATTGAAAAAAACAAAACCCCTAATGAGGCATGGAGAGCTGCCGTGTGCCAGGTGAGCCTGGTCCCAGTCCCTTGGAACCCCCAGGAGGAAGAGGCCCAGAGAAGTTCTCTGGCCCCTTCCCTGCTGGGCAAGCACTGAGGTGGAAGCGGAGCAACAGCCCCCTCAGTCTGGCGCGGTGCCAGGCTGTCCTGGCTGGCAGCACCTCCCGGCGGCACGGTTCCCCTGTCTTTAGCTGCGGCGTCTCCTCTTTCCTGGGCGCCTCTGCTTCATTGTTGGCCGAGGGGGTCAGGACCCGCCGCCTTCTGCATTATTGATGTTCCTGTAAGGCGGGCGCCCCGGGAAGTAGAAGGAGCCCGTAGCCCCAGCGAGAGCAGAGCCGGGGTGGTGCACTGCGCAGAGGGTCACCGCGGGCGGCCAGATCCCCGGGAAGGGGAGAGGACCTGGGCCCCGGGAAACCCATCTCCTCTGGGCCAGCCATGGGCAGGAACCAGGGCAAAGCATCCCAGCGCCTGGCGAGACCTGGGAGGCCAGCTTCACGGGAGCAGGAGTCAGGGTCAGCCAGCGCGGACAGCGCGCCCAGCCGCGAACGCAGGTACGACCGCGGTCAGGCGGACAAGGCGAGACCGGCCGCTGAGCGCGCCACCGCCAGAGGCCAGGGGACCGCTGGTGGCCGCAAGAAGTCTACTGCAGAGGAGAACGGCGGCTGCAGACGGCCAGGGACTGGGTCGCCCCCGGAGGCCCAGGAGAGGCAAGGCAGTGCGCGGCGTCAGGGACGCGGGCCCAGGGACGGCCGCGGGGGGCGCCTGGAGGAGGGGAGCCTGTCCCGAGAAGAGCGAGGCGGCCGCCGCAGGAGGAAGGGGAAGGGGCGGGAGTCCTCGGCTCGGCGGGACCACCGGGCGCCCGGGAGCCTCTATGGGGACATGTCGGGCGGGGACAGAGGCAGCTCCTGTCCGGACAGCGAAGCCCGCGAGGCCCCGGAGAGCGGCAGCCAGCGCGGCGGAGCCCGAGAGCTGCGGCCCACGCCGGAGCCTACGGACACCGGCTCGGAAGGGACGAAAACCGGGCCGGAGTCAGCGCTGGACCCAAGCAGCGACGGCCTGGACAGCGACGGGCCCCGGGCACATCCCCGGAGCCGGGTAGGGTCGTCGGGGGCGGGGCCCCTGGGAACCAGCGAGCATTCCGGGGGGGACTCCGACTCGAGTCTGCTGGGAGCCGGACCTGGACGGGGCCCCCGGGGAGCTACGGCCTCCAGGACCTTCGAGGGCAGCTCGCGGTCTCCTCAGGACACTGGGCTGGCCCAGGACGCGAGCGACAACCGGGCGCAGCGAGGCGCCAAGCCAGAAACGGGGGAGGGCTCGACGGCCCGGGCTCCGCGCCGCCAGGTCGGAAAGGTTTTGGGGCCGGTGCCCTCCGCCGCAGGCGAGGACGAAACGGGAGCCGCAGCGGGAGAGGGGCCGGACGAGCCAGCCCCGCTGGCGTCCCTCCTGGCGGTCCGCAGGCTCCTCGCGAGGCCCCCGCCAGGCGCCGCTTCCCAGGTGGTGGGCCCCCGCCGCCCTGGCCTCAAGGAGCGGCTCCGGCGTGTAGCGCGAACACTGGGTCTCCTGAGCTGGCTGCGGCTGCAGCTGAAGCTGAGGCCGCCAGAGGGCGAGGGCCTGGGGGCGGGCCCATGGGCGAGTGAGGGGCGGGGCCGCGGGAAAGCGGATAAGGGGCGGGGCCACGAGAGAGGGGACGAGGGGCGGGGCTGCGGGAAGGCGGGCGGTGGGCGGGGCCGCGGGAAGGCGGAAGATCAGCGGGTCCACGGGGAAACGGACGAGGGGCTGGGCTACAGGAGAGCGGATGAGGGGCGGGGTCACGAGAGAGGTCACGAGGGGCGGGGCCGCGGGAGACCGGACGAGGGGCGGGGCCATGAGCCCGGTCTGCGACGCCGTCTAGCATTGCGCCTGGCGGGCTTAGCAGGGCTTGGGGGTAGCCCGACGGCTCCCCCTGGCGGCCGCTCGCGCCCCCTGCAGGTCCCGAGAAGCCCAGTCCTCGACGACGCTTTCGACCAGGGGGATGGGACTCCAGATCCCAAGTTCGCGGTCGTGTTCCCCAGGATCCACAGGGCAGGGAGGGCGTCGGGCAGCCACAGCTCTGGAGAAGCGTCCGCGTCCGCCGATGTCCCCACGGGGGAAGGCCGAGGTTGGCCTGGTGCAGGAGCGGCGGGGCACAGTGAGGGGCGCAGGGCGAGTGGGGAAGGGGTGTCCTGGCCTCATCCGGGCTCCCTCCTCGCCCCGACTGCCCCCGACGGGCCCTCGCTCGACGAGAGCGGCTCCAGCAGTGAGACGGAGTCGGAGACCCTGGACGACGAGCCCCCGGTGCACTGGGCGCAGGGCTCCGGTCCCCGCGAGTGTCCTGGGCTTGGCGCCGCGGTACTGCTGCCCCGACTCGCCCTGGAGACCCGCCAGCAGCGGGAGGGAGACCTGGGCCCGCGCGGGTCCCTGAGGGAGCGGTGGGAGCCAGAGGATGAGGCCGAGGCGGTGCTGGAGCGGGATCTGGAGCTGAGCCTCGGGCCGGGCCTGGAGACGCCGCCCTTCCCCGGTGCCGAGGGCAGGAGCCTTGCAGACGGCCTAGAAGACGCTGAGGACCTGGCCCGACTGCGGTGAGCCGGCGCGGTGCCAAATCTGCCATCCCTGGCTCACAGTTCCTCATACCCCGTCCTGCCCTCATCTTTATGAATTGCGTGGAGACCCTTATTGAATCCTTAGAAAGATGGGCTTGAGCCCTTCTGGCAGGAAGGGGCAGGTGGGGGCCGCAGGTGCTACTCCGCAGGACTGCCGTTCTAATTAGTACAAAGTTTCCCTCGGGTCAGCGTGAGCCCTGCTTGTAGCCTCCATTTTATGGATCAGGCTCTAGGAGTTTCAATGATTTGCCAGAGGTGTCCCTGCAGTGGGTGGCAGAGCTAACCCACAACCTCCTGCAGCCACAACCTGTTGTCCCCACAGGCTGGTGTGTGACAGCTCTGTGCTGCTGTGCCTCAAGAAGAGATTTCACCTGGGCCGCATCTATGTATGGGGGGCCATGGGGAGGAACAGTGTGCTGGGATCTCCTTTTCTCTGGGGCAGAGGGCTCCCCAGCACCCCTGGAGCTTCTCCTTCCTTTTCCTCCTGGGCTGGGCAGTGCACCCTCTCTGGAGCCCTGCAGAGCAGGGCTGGGGGACTGGGTTCCGTTTGCATCCCCCCTGCTCCCTCCACATGCTGATGAGAGCTTGTTTTCCTCCCCAGACCTTTGGGGGACCCCTCCTGCTCGCTCTGAACCCCCACCGGCCCTTGCCTCTCTTCTCACCTGAGGTCCAGGCCAGCTACCACCCAGGGAAGGCCCCCAGCACCACCCCGTATGTGACTCTGCCCCATTGACCCTCTGCTCACCTCCCAGGCAGCCCAGTCCCTGCATGTCCCCTTGACTGGGGTCCCAGGGCCTGTGAGCACCTCTGCTATACCTCGGAGGGTCCCAGGTCCCCATGTCTGGCAGCCTTCTCATCTCCCTCAGGCACATCTTTGCCATCGTGGCATCAGCCTATGACCTGGCTCAGAATACTGGGCAGGACCCCTGCATCCTCCTGCGGTGAGTGGTGGCTGTCCTGCATGGCTGAACCCACGGGCCACACTGAGGGTTGGTGGGGCGCGGCTGAGGTCTGCACTTGAAGCCACTAGTCTTCTCCACCGCTGGGCTATAGTTCTGGGCTTCTTAGGCTGAGCTCCCGGCTGAAATCATCGCATGAGCCCCTGGAATCTGAAATCTTGGGGACTTTTTTCTGTTGGGTCTCTCCCTGCCCTGGGGCTATATTTCCTCATTTCTGGGGGTCTCCCCAGGCTAGCTGTCACTTCTTGTGGCACATCCCACTTCCTGGGTTCAGTGGGGTGGTCCTACGTGCCCCTCCCTGGAGACCCTACCAACCAACACACCTTAGCTCTTCCCAATGCAGTGGGCACAGCGGCTCAGGGAAGACGGAAGCCGCCAAAAAGATCGTGCAGTTCCTAAGCAGCCTGGAGCAGGATCAGACGGGGAACCGAGGGTGTCAGGTGAGGGCCAGGCTAGAGGCACCTCATGGGCTGAGCTGGCCATCTGTCCTCCCTCCAGGGTATAGCTGACCATGTCTGAGGGACCATCTTTCTCCTTTCAGCCAAGAGAGGGGTGGTCTACAGGCCTCTGGTGTCTCCTGGGGTCAGCTGCAGGCACTGTTCTTTCTGATGTGACTGACGCCTCCCTGAACCTGCCCCCAGCTGGGATGCCTGCTGATGGTGGCTACTGCTGCCCAGGGATGCTTGAATGCCCCTCCCTGTACAGGTGGAGGATGTGCTGCCCATGCTCAACAGCTTTGGCCACGCCAAGACCACCCTCAATGCCAACGCCAGCCGCTTCGGCCAGGTCTTCTGCCTCTACCTACAGCAGTGAGTGGCAGGGTTACAGGGGCACCTATGATCACTTACTCTTGCTGGGTCGTTGGTCTGCTTCCCTGGGGTCCAGCCCTGGTGGGGCTTCTTCTGCCCGGGGCCCCTGGGTGGTCTGCATCCTGGGCACTCCCACCAGTCTTCTGTGCCCACAGAGGGGTCATCGTGGGAGCCTGTATGTCTCATTATCTACTTGAGACCTCCAGGGTGGTGTTTCAGGTAAGGGTGGCCCTTCTGTTCACCCCTCCCCAGTTCCCAGAGCAGGAAAGGCAGAGGGGACCACTGACCCCCCAGGCCACTGAGTCCCTAAGCCAGTCCTGCCCCCAAGGCCCAGGCTGAGCGGAGCTTCCATGTCTTTTACGAGCTGCTGGCAGGGCTGGACTCCGTGGAGCGGGAGCGGCTCTCACTGCAAGGACCAGAGACTTACTACTACCTCAACCAGGTAGGGGGTGCCCTTGCAGTGCAGCGGGGAGAAGGCCTGCCCAGAGAAGGATCTTGGCTCAGAGGTCTAAGAGGCAGCCGGAGTAGAGGGAGACTATGAGGGGGCCGGCCCTGCCCCCTCACCCCTTCTGTGCTCTGCAGGGCCAGGCCTGTAGGCTCCAAGGCAAGGAGGATGCCCAGGACTTTGAGGGGCTGGTGAAGTCACTGCAGGGGCTGGGGTTGTGCCCCGAGGAGTTGAATGCTGTCTGGGCTGTGCTGGCTGCCATTCTGCAGCTGGGCAACATCTGCTTCTCCTCCTCAGAGGTGGGCTCCCCCGTGGGCAGGGGCCATCCAGGCGCTGGGTCTGCAGAATTAGGGCAATGGTGATGATGCCAAGCACTTGTGTGTAGGAGACTAGAGAGCGCTGGGCTGCCCGGGAAAGTGGGCAGATCCCCACCGTGTAGCTCAGAAAGCTGAGACCTGGAGCGCCTCCATCTCTCCCAATGTCTGCCACCTCTAAGAACATCTGGCATTAAATGAGCAGCTATGGCCAGGAATGGTGGCTTACACCTGTGGTCCAGCACTTTGGGAGGCCGAGGCAGGAGGATTGTGTGAAGCCAGGAGTTTGAGACCCGCCTATGCAACTGGAGAGACCCCATCTCTGTCTCCCTTTTTATTTTTAAATAAAGTCCGGGCGTGGTGGCTCATACCTGTAATCCCAGCACTTTGGAAGGTCGAGGTGGGCAGATCACTTGATGTCAGGAGTTTGAGACTAGCCTGGCCAGCATGGTAAAACCCCATCTCTGCTGAAAATACAAAACTTAGCCGGGCGTGGTGGCGCACGCCCATAATCCCAGCTACTTAGGAGGCTGAGGCAGGAGAATTGCTTGAACCCGGGAAGCAGAGGTTGCAGTGAGCTGGGATTGCGCCACTGCACTCCAGCCTGGGCAACAGAGTGAAACTTGGTCTCAGAAAAAAAAAATTAGCTGGGCATGGTGGCATGCACCTGTAGTCCCAGCTACTGGGGAGGCTGAGGTGGAAGAATTACCTGAGCCCAGGAGGTAGAGGTTTCGGTGAGCCAAGATTGTGCCACTACACTCAATCCTGGGTGACAGAGTGAGACCCTGTCTCACTCAAAAAAAAAAAAAAAAAAAAAAAGAAATAAGCACCTATTACGTGTCCAGCACTGTGTAAATCACCTTGCATTTGGTTTCGAAGTTAGTTTGCCGGAAAGTCCTCTGGCAAGTGTCACTGCTTTCCCTTTAGCAGTGAGGCCATGGGGGCAGGAAGGAAGGGGCCTGGCCAGAGCCATCTGAAGAGGGAAAGTAGGACTTGTTCCTACGGCCCTGGGAACCAGAACCCGGCTCCTAACCACCCAGATCCCCTCATGTGACACATCTCCCCTTTGGGTGGCAAAGCCCAGCCTGCCATGGGAGTGTGTCCATTCCTGAAGCAGAGCTCTCCCTGTCCCTCCATCTCTGTGTAGCATGAGTCCCAGGAGGTGGCTGCTGTGTCCAGCTGGGCCGAGATCCACACAGCAGCCCGGCTGCTTCGCGTACCACCAGAGCGCCTGGAGGCGGCTATCACCAGGAGGGTCACGGTGAGCCCAAGGGTCCCAGGGAGAGGGGCTCAGCTTAGCCAACCCGCAGGCTGAGTAAGCACCATGAGGGCTGCGGGCCTGACACACAGCTGTGCCTCCTCTGCCCTCCAGGAGACACCCTATGGCCAGGTCTCACGATCCCTGCCTGTGGAAAGCGCCGTTGATGCCAGGTGGCCCTGGAGACGGGTGAGAGCCGGACACGGGGCACAGCTCTATGTGGCTCACCTGCCCATTGTGCCCACAGGGACGCCCTGGCCAAGGCCCTGTACTCACGGCTCTTCCACCGGCTTCTGAAGAGGACCAACATGTGGCTGGCACCGCCAGGGGAGGGAGGCAGCATTGACACCATCACTGTCGTGGATGCCTACGGCTTTGAGGTTACCCCTTGGGGTGGGGTCCAGGACAGGGGGCGCTCATATAATTCAGATGGATTTCTGGGACCCCCACAGCTCCAGCTCTCCCTGGGGGCGCTCGAGAGGTACTTGCCTGTCGGGCAGGGCCCCTTCAGGGCTCCTTGTGTATCTGCTGGGCTGAGCCTGCTGGGTGGGGCGCAGGGATGGAGAGGAAAAGTTGCAGTTGTGTCTCTGGGGCTTTAGAATCTCTTGAGGACTCAGGCGGGCTGCCTGCCTTAAGGGGTCTCGCTTCCACATATCTCCAGAGGAGGAGGCCCCTGCCTCACACCCACATTCTTCCAAGCATGGCCTCTGCTCCCTTCTCTGATCCCCAGCTGAACAGCCTGGGCCGCCTGGGCCCAGAGTGACCCTACCTTCTCTGGGATGACTGGGGCCAGCCCCGGCACCATCCTGTCCTCCTGCTGGGAGGAGTTGCTTAGTACAGCAGACAGGAGCAGAGGCTTGGACAGGTCCTGCCACTCACTAGCCGTGTGGCCCTGAGCAAGTGCATGAACCTGTCTGAGATCCAGCATTCCCGTAAAGTAGAAACCCTAACAGGGCCAGTCTTATGAGTTTCATGAGAGAGCTGTGTGCTCCAGGGCAGCCATCCTGGCCCACTCTGGTCCTGCCTTTGGTGTGGCCTGTCCTGCCTGGCCTTGCAGACACAGGAGCCTCAAAGGCAGTGGAAGGCAGAGGCCCCAGCGTGGGCCCACCCACAGCCCCACCTCCCGCACGCCAGGTGGAAGGGAAGAGGGAGAGTGCCCCAGTCGCTCTGAGTCAGCAGGGGCTCTGCACCCCTTCCCCCTTCACAGAGGATCCTGCCACCTCGGGATAGCTAGGAGGGGGCTGGAGGGAGAGGAGGTGGCCCCTGCAGTCAGTCCCTGGACGGGCACTATACATGGCCCGCTGTTCTGTCCCAGGCTCCACAGTGGGTTCTTGTGACTGTGCCCTCCCTACAGCTGAGCTTCTGTGTGTGTGTTTCAAGGGTGCACAGGCTACATGAGCCTTCCTCATAGAGTGCTGAGGGAGCAGAGGAAGGAGCCTGTAATCCCTATTAGAGCAAGGCTGGAAGGCTTCCCGGAGGCAGCAGCCTGGAGCTCTGCTCATGAGGATGCGGGACTCTGATAGCCAGCCTGATAGTAGGGAAAGGTGTCTTCCAGGCCACAGGATGGCCGTGACAAGAGGCCTGAAAGCTCGCAGGAGTGCTGCAGCAGAGGGCAGGGGTGCGAGTGGATGGAAGGATGTGTGGCTGGGCAGGGCTGAGGTAGCCTGTGTGCTGTGCGGGAGCCTTTGGACTTGACCTGGTGGCTGCACAGCATCAGCCCCGGGCATGACTCATCCCTGCGCCCTGGCCAGAATGAAGGAAGCCCCTGGGGTCAGGGGAGGGCACAGGCCTGTGTGCCGGCCCCTGCCAGTCCCATGTACCCTCCTTGCTGCCGTATGCCCCCAGGCCCTGCGGGTGAATGGCCTGGAGCAGCTGTGCAACAACCTCGCCAGCGAGCGCCTGCAGCTCTTCTCCAGCCAAATGCTGCTGGCCCAGGAGGAGGTAAGGCGACTAGGCATGGATGCGGCAGGGGACACTCAGGCATTGCCCATGCAGAGGCCATCCTTAGTGAAGGAGAGTCGGGAACTGAGAGCTCTGCCCAGAAGTCCCCTTTCCATGTGACATCTCAGTCTTCTGAGCCTCATTCTGCTATTCTATAAGATGGGAGAGGCCGGACGCGGTGGCTCACGCCTGTAATCCCAGCACTTTGGGAGGCCGAGGCGGGTGGATCACGAGGTCAAGAGATCGAGACCATCCTGGTCAACATGGTGAAACCCCGTCTCTACTAAAAATACAAAAAAATTAGCTGGGCATGGTGGCGCGTGCCTGTAATCCCAG